AGATGGAGAGAAAATATTTGCAAATCATATATTCTATAAAGGACTTATATGTAGAACATATAAAGAACTCTTAAAACAATCATAAGAAAACAAATCATACATTAAGTTTGAGTGAACAAAGGTTTTCTTTGGTAATATCTAGGAGTAAAATAGCTGGGCCGTAGGATAAGAATAAAATTTTCATTAATTTTGTTTACTACTGTTTGTCTATTTTGTTTCCTATTGTCTTACCTTATGTTTTCTACTACATTGATTTTAGCTCTTGTACTATTCCAGGTTTCTATTTATTTCTGGTTTAATATGTAATCATTTTCTAGTATCTTAAGGCGGAACCTCAGGTTATTTATTGCCTATGCCCTAATTTCCAGAACCTGGGAATATGTTACCTTGCCTGGCAAAAGGGCAAAGGGACTTTGCAAATGTGATTAAGGGTAAGGACCTTAAGATGGGAAGAGTACCCTAGATTCTCCAGGTAGACCCAATCTAATCACACACAGCCTTAAAATCAGAGAGGCTTTCCTGGCCACGTCAGAGATTGAGATGGAAGAAGAAGAAAAAGAGACGCATAGAATGAGAAGGATTCAACCCACCACTGCTGGCTCTAAAGATGAAGAAAGGGAGCCACCAGCCAACGAACATGGGTGGCCTCTAGAATCTAGAAATGGCCTTAAGCTGAGAACCAACAATGAAATGAGGATCTCAGTCCTATTACTATAAGGAACCAAATTCTGCCAACTCAAACAAGAAAATGCTCCTCCCCTAGAGCCTCCAGAAAGGAACACAGTCTCACTGACACCCTGATTTCAGGTAGGGTGAAAATCTACAAGGGCATCTACAAGAGTCTGGTATAGGGACTCTATATCAGACTTGTGACCTGCAGAACTATAAGCTGCTAAATTTGTAGTAATTTGTTATGGCAGCTGTAGGAAACTAACACACTGCTTTAAAGTCTTTGTGTGCTAATTTCAGCACCTCTATCATCTTGGGATCTGTTTTTATTAACTGCTTCTGTTCTTGATCATGGCCACATGTTTCTGCTCCTTGTGTCTAGCAATTTTTAATTGTAGGCTGGTTGTTGTATTCTTCTATTGAAGCACTGTAGAAAGTCTAGATTATATCACTGTCCTTTAAAAGGAGTGGAACTTTATTCTGGCAGGCAGTGAAACTACTGACAGAACCTTTTTTCCCTGTTAGGCTTGGCTGTATCTTTTGTTAGAGTGGATCTATTTTAGTTTTGAACTTAGCCCTAGAGCATGGCCATTACTCCAGGGCCCAGTACTTACTGCTAAGGTATGGTTTTCTTGGGGGTCTCGAATGAATACTTAAAGGGCTCAGCAAGGTCTTTTAACTCCGGATGGGCCAGGACTCCTGTGTCTTCCAGGACTGCCTGACCTCTGGCATCTCCTTTCAACACTCTGCCCCACAGTAGGTAATCTCTTTCAGGTCTCTCCAAGTCTTTGCTACACATGCTCAGCCAGCCCTTGCCTAAATCCTATAGTAAACGTCCCCATGAAGTCTTCCTCCCTCCCCCATTCCATATCGTACCTCCTTCTCTGTATCCCACCCTATAAATTACAGCAACTTCAGCAGCTCAGAAGGCTAATTTCTGCCTTAGCTCTGCAAGACCCACTACTTTGCTTGAATTCTATCTTCTTTACTGCAAGTAGGAAAGTGCCTCTACAAAGAAAGCTGGGGTGACAGTGGGGTATGACTTTTGCATTTCCCTTCTCTCAAGGCGCATGGTTATGTCCTACTTGTTGTTCCTGCCCAATTTCATAGTTGTCTACAGTGGAAGGTTAAGTCCAATACCAGTTACTCTATTATAGCTGTAGAAAGAAGCCCTAAAATGTATCATTTTTATGACTTAGCACTTTAACCAAGTGTTTCCAATGACCTGTCTCAAGAGAGTTTCTATGGTACTTATTTCAGACAGTTATTGGGAGGATTAAGTGCCCTATGCATGTAAAGCATTCAGCAGGGGGATGGTATGCTCTCAAAGAAGGACTGGTTAAGAAGAATTATGCACATGTTTAAATTGTTAAATTTTCAAGTGCACTGTCTGAGCAATTTCACTATGACCACTCATATAAACTTAAATGAATATAACAAAGTATTTTAATTTTCTTAAGGTACAGAATATTTGTCTAAGCATTCCTCTTTCAGTTACATCAGTGAATAATTACAGAAAGGAAACAGCTGTTCTAGCCTTAAAGCTATTGTCAAATAAAGTCATTAAGTTAAGAACAAAGTTAAACAAATTAGTACAGTCTTTAGTAACCAGTTCAGTTTGAAAATTAAATTAGGCCCTCCATAAAAAAATAAAACAAATTAAAAACACTCTATTTATCCATAATTAAGTGTTTTGCTTATTTCTTAAACTTTGTCTCTGTGCGTGGTATGTAAATACATGCAATTTCTTTAAAGGATGTTTTTCTTGGAAGCCCATCTTTCGTCAAAAAGCTTTTCCTTATATAGCTAAAATGTTTGTGAAAAGCATTTAGCGATTGTTCATAGGTGAGTGATGAACAATCCACATGGTATCTAGCAACATTATCTCATCTCAATTTCAAAGAGCTTGAAATTAATAGTGAACAACACTGTCCACCAAATGAATCAAGACTTAGAAGTATGAAACAAAAGATTTAAAGGATTTGTTATAAGCAGTTGATGAAGCCTACAATATAATGGCAATGAATAAGGAGGATGATTCTAATGGGAGTTTCCTAGTCAAGGTGAACTGAGAGGAATTAATATAAAACAGATTTTTTCCACTACGTGCCTTTAAGAAAATGAAGACATTATGAAAGGCCACTGAGCTGGAGCCCCAAATTTAATTCTAACCTATCACATAACAAGTGCAAGGTTTGGGACCAGATGCTTAAACTTTCTGCATAACAGATCCCATCTCTATGGTTTTACACATGACATGGATTAGAGACCACTGAGCACCCTTCCAGGGATAACATCCTATGGCCCTGTGGGTACTTAACTTCCCCCAGCAAATGCATACACAGATCATATCTCCATGAGACTAATCACCCTAATTTGATAGTCACAGTAATACAAAATGAATTCTATATTAAATTTTTGTTTTAGAAAAGAAGCTCATTCTTCTCTAAATCATAATCTACACCAGATTAAATGTGCAGAGAAGAACTAATTCTTTCATTTTCCCCTAGCCACTGCCCCTGGGCTTGACACTGCTCTCCCTGTGCAGATTCTAACACTAAAACTAGTCTCTTTGACTTTCAACATGAGAACTTGCACCACGACCTCTCTTCTCCTCACCAGACCTTCCCTTACATTCAAGAGACAGTGTAGTAACATATTAAAGAAAGCCAGCCCTTTCAGGTTCACATCCCAGATACATCACTTACTGTGCGACAATCGGCAAGTTGCCTAACCTCTCTGTGCTTCAGATTCCTCATCTGCAAAATGGAGGTGACAGTAGTGTCTATTTCATAAGATTTTTGTGAGGACTCCAGGAGTTAACACAGAGAAACCACTTAGAACATTGCCTAGAAGGCAGCAAGTACACGATGTACTTGCTGCCATTATTAAGCCATTATTACCACCTTCTCTCAGAAGTCCAAGTTTTTTCTCCTGATGTAGACAGTTCAGAACTGTGGAAAGAGCAGTAAAAAGAATCTTGTGTTTTAGTTTTGACTCTACAGTGACTGATATTTTTCAGTAAGTGTTTGCCTTCTTCCTCAAAGGGAGAAGCTCCGGGAGGGCCGGCCCACCTGTTTGTTCACCACTGTATCCTCAACGCCTGACACCGGGTAGGAACTCCAATACAGTTCTGATAAGTTAATGATTTAACAAATGAAGGTGGACAAGATTCAGAGACAGAGGGCAAAGGATAATCCACAGAAAAGTAAAAAATGTTAATGAGCAAAAAGAAAAAGAAAAATCTGGGATCACAGTATGGGGATGAGGGGAGGAAAAGTGTGAAAGGAAATAACTGGTTTCCGAACGAAGTGTTAACATTTAAAATCACCAGCCCCCTTCCACCACCAGGCTGTCAGCTCTTCCAGGGCAGAAACCCCATCATCCACCACGGTCTCTTGATTTAAAAGTATTCACTATGACACTTGTACAGTAAGTGATAAATTCGGTGGAACTGTATAAAATTGCCACGTGTAAAGGTCAAAGACGGTATCGATATTGGAAAGGTTCAACCTGGTATAACTGGTTCAATCTAACACAAATAACTGTTAATCCTGCCAACTCAGTCTCTTGGTACATTTATAATCACATTTACAACACCGGCTGTCTGTAAACAGTACCATTATTGCCTACGTTTTGGAGGTGAGGAAGTGTCACAGCTGATAGGTGCCGGAGTCGGTTCCCTCAACCACCAGGCTACACTGCCTTCCCAAAGAGTCCGAGGGCTGTGGCTCAGAGACAGCGACTAGCCCACGCTGCAGGCAACGAGATGCCCGGGCTCGAAACCGGCGTGTCTGACGCCAAAACCCTTGACCTTCCACTAGCCAGCCTTTCCGTCAAATCCAATGCTTTCCTCCCCCGCCCCGACGCCCACCCCATTTTACAGAACGGGAACCTGGGCCTCGCCGGGGCCAAGCTGCCCCGCCAGTCAGCGGGAGACATGGCACTGCCCGGTCTGCAGAGAGCGAAGGGCTGGGCCGGGCTGGGGTCCCGCTGGCGGGAAGGGGCGCCGAGGGTCCCAAGAGGCCCGGGACGATGCCCAGAATGGGGACAATCGAGGGCGGAAGGTGGGAGAGGGCGCTTACTCCGTCCCATGGCGCCTCTCGAGTTCGCGGGCCCAGGAAGCTCGACCAGGACCCCCAAGGACTCCCTGGACGCCTCCTAGTCTCTCCTCCGCGCGCCCGCACCTGGGAGCCATGGCAACGGGGATTCTACGGCGGCCGCGCGGGGCCAGGCGGGGCCGCGTTTCCCGACTCAGGAGGAGCAAGGAGGCGAGAATGGGCAGAGGAGGGTCTCCCCGCGAGTAGACAGGGGCGCCCCGCAACCCAGACCTAGTCCTCCTCCACGTCCCCACCTTCCACCTTCGCAGACTGCTTCCCTTTCCCCAGATCAACTGGCCAGTCTAAACAAAGAACCAAGGGACGCTCTGTTTCCTGAGGGGAGCTGCTTCCTAGGCGTGCCTCTTAGCCCGCCCTTTACTTTTTTTTTTTCTCTTTGTATTTTATTTAACGCCTTCCGGAGCCAGGAAATCTGGAATCGGCCCACACTCCATTTCCCAGAGGTGTGACCTTAAACTTCCTTAACCTTAGTTTCCACCTGTCAGATGAGTGCTAATAATAACCTCCAAGGATCATTGTGAAGCTTTTTTTTTTTTTTTTTTTTTTTTTTTG